GCGTCCAACTCTTACTCTTGGCTCAGGTCATGATCTCACAGTTCACGTGTTTGAGCCCAGCATGGGGCTCTGCGCTAATGGCATGGAGCCTTCTTGGGATTCTGTCTCTCTCCTTTTCTCTGCCCCTCCCCCACTTGTGCTTTCACTCCAAATAAATAGATAAGTAAATAAATAAATAAAGCTGTTCCACTGGTATTCCAACTTAGCTTTGGATCTTACTTATTTGTAGCTGGGAGTTTATCCACATCAAATATTCCTGATTCTGAAACTGATCACTAGAATACACGACATCTACTGTGGGCCTCGTACTGGGTAGGGATAGGAGAACATTCAAAAGAAGAAATAATTATTAACTTTACGTGTTACTATTTGATATGGGTTGAATTGTGTTCCTCCCAAATTCCTATGTTGAAGCCTGAACCCCCAGTACCTTAGGATATGACTATATGGAGATAGGGCCTCTAAAGAAGTAATTAAATTAAACAAGGTCATTGGGATGGGCTAAGATGACTATTGTCCTTAGAAGAAGGGGAAATTAGGACACACACACACATAGGGAAGGCCACGTGAGGACGCAGGAGACAGTGGCCATGTGCCAGCCCAGGAGAGAGGCCTCAGGAGAAATCAATCTTGCCAACACCTTGATCTTGGAGTTCCTGTCTCCAAAGTTATGAGAAAATACATTTCTGTTGTGGAATCCCCTCCAGTCTGTAGTATTTGTTATGGCAGCCCAATATACAATTCCATTTTAAAAGTACTCCCTAGGGGTGCCTGGGTGGCTCAGTCAGTTAAGCATAGGACTTTGGCTCACATCATGATCTCACAGTTCGTGACTTTGAGCCCAATGTGGGCTTGCTGCTGTCAGCACAGAGCCTGCTTCGGATCCTCTGTCCCCCTCTCTCTCTGCCCCTCCTTTACTCATTCTCTCTCTCTCTCTCTCTCTCTCTCTCTCTCTCTCAAAAATAAACAATTAAAGCACTCTTTATATCCTTAAAACAACCCTGCAGGGGAATCATTGTTCTGTCCTGTTCATAGACAAGGAAGTTGAGGCTCAGAGAACTTGAGTTCTTTGCCCAAGTTCACACAGCTGAAAAGTGCTGGATAAACATAGGTCTTTGACTTCAAATTCTGTGTGCTCTTTTTGCAGTTCTGCTCGAGGGTGGGAGATGCATGAAAGCAAAGAAAAATCAAAGAAACAAATAGAGAAAAACACTGGGAGTACAACTAGAATTCCAAGCCAGGAGACATATCACTGAGGACAGGGGAAACCCAGCTAAGGGTGCTGGAGTTTGTGTTTGAAGACCTTTCTTTGGGGGCTATACTAACAATAATAAGAGCTAACATCTCTCTCTCTCTCTCTTTTTAAAAATGTTTATTTATTTTGAGAGAGTGTGTGAGTGAGGGGAGGGGCAGAGAGAGACAGAGAATCCCAAGCAGGCTCTGCACTGTCAGCACAGACATCAGGGCTTGATCTCAAGAACCATGAGATCATGATCTGAGCTGAAATCAAGAGTCAGACACTCAACGAACTGAGCCACCTGGGGGCCCTTAAGAGCTAACATTTCTGAGCATTTACCAGAAGACAGGCACTGTGATAAATGCCTCACTGTGATAAAATACTATTTTGTCTAAACCTTGAGACAAGCCTATATTTCAGATGTTTTTAGTATGTCCATTTTATAGATGAAGAAACTGAGGCTCAGAGAACTCAAGCAAAGAATCTACGGTTGTATGTCCTGGGAAAGGAAGTGTTTGGATTTGAACCCAGGTCTATCTAACCCCAAGGATGTTGTTCATTTTCCAATAGCGATGCAAATGTGTCCTGGCTGTGAGGAAGGAGAGAGAAGGGAAGGCACAGTCTCTATCATGGGCAAGAAGGCATCTGGGGTCTCAGGCTGGGTATGCTCCTCTCCAGGGCTCTGGGTGAAGGGCAGCGATCGGGCGTCTCAGGCCCTGGCCCCGCTTGCAATCTCCTCACGCATGCGGATCATGGCAGGGAGAATACGGCCTCCACAGCCATGAGTAAGCTCCCCTTCCCCTCAGAAGACAAACTCGCAGAGCAGGAAACATTGCTTTTGCACATTCAATACTCTCTCTGTCTCTGTTTCTCTGCGTCTTGTCTCTCTGTCTCTATCTCTGTTTTTATCTCTGTGTTTCTCTCTGTCTTGCTGTATCTCTCTCCACATCCTCTCACACTTCACTTTGTGGCTGGGAATTGAAAGGCTCCTTGTGCTTTATAAACTTATGTAAACGCCTAACAACCCCCCCCCCCCCCGCGGGGACCCCGCCCCCCTCAGTTCTGGGCACCGCCGAGGCAAGTGCGCCCCCTGGTGGGGAAATGTCTCACGGGTCCTTCAAAGTTTGCCTCCAGTTTGACCCCCAGGAAACCTCTGAGAATGTGCTGATCTTGTGGGCTTCTTTTCCATTTTCTGCAAGTTCTAACTTGCATGTAGAACTGGGAAGAGCCACAGACACGAGCTGGTCCTGCAAATGCAGGACCTGAGCCTCACACTGGAACCCCAGGTACCTTGCAGCCTGCCCTCCTGGGAAGGATACTTCCAAACTCCACACAGCCTAGCCCGGGGGTTTCCAGTCCTGGCTGAACTGTAGTACCAGATGGGGACACTTACAACGTGCCACAGGCCTGGCCCCGCTGGGAAATCCGGGCACTGGTATTTCCAGGTGTGCCCTCCCCCATGTCCTCGTCTGACCTCCACTGCACTGTGATTTGAACTGCAGCCAGGGCGGAGAACTATAGAATCACTTAGGGTGCTTAGGAAAGATGAGGTTTCTAGATTCTACCTTAGACCTGCTGGATCAGAATCTGAGAGAGGGAGGTCTAGAAACCTGCTTTCTAAAACGAAGACCTGAGGTGATTTTTATAAATCGTGAGGTTGGCGAAGCACTGGGAGACCATCTTCATCTTTAGGGGAAGGTGGTGGGGTCCTGGGAGGTGATGAGCCAGCCCTGGGCCTTGCAGCTCGTGGCCAGCTGGGGCCCGAGTCTTGGGAAAGCACTTCAGAGGGACCATGAGAGGCAGGGTGGTGGTGCCCAGGCTGTAGGTCCAGGCTGCTAAGCCAGAAGGAGGGACTCATTTCTTATCCTAGCTCTTTTCAGTCCTACCTCCAAAGGCACTCTTAGGTCCTCTCAGAGTCCTCCTCATCTGTGAGCCCTGAGGGTCAGATTTGTCTCTGTCTGGTGCTCCCCCTGACCCTCCACAGGGGTGGTCTGCTCTCTGGTGCCCTAAATTCCAGCTTAGCTCCCACCGGCCATGCCCCCTCATCCCAGGGTCTGGGTGTGACAGCCCCAATTCCAGAGATTCTGGGGGAGATGGGGTGTGGCCATAAGCCCCCTCCAGGGTGGGGAAGGCCGAGTCACATTTTTCTTTCTTGACAGACTCAGCAGCCACCTCCCCCAAGAGCCCTTGGTTCCTAGCGGGTGGGGGTGGGGGCCGCAATTCTCTGGGGGCCCCCACTGCCCCATGGACAGAGTTCCCTGTTCCTGGAGCCCTCTGCCTCCTAAATACTGGACCACCCAGGGGAGATCTGCCCAAGCCCCAGTCTGACCACATTGCTGGCTACACACACACACACACACACACACACACACACACAGGTCTCCACGTGAGACTTACTTGGTGATCCTGCCTGATTTACCGGTACAAACACCTCCTACTCCTGAGAGTGCTGTGCTCCCTACGTAACAGCTTATGGCAAGGGGCCGGGGGCAAAGAATGGGTTCAAATCTGGGGTCCAGCACTGGCCAGCTAAGAGCCCTGGGACAAGCTGGCGGTGTAGAGTCTCTGCCATTTACTTCTTGTGTGGAGAAGAGTGTAGGCATAATGACAATGGTGATGCCTACTTCCCAGGGCTGTTCAAGAAGCTATAGACAGTTTGGGAATGTACTCTGGAAATCACAAAGACTATAGGGACACGTGTCCTTCTTTGCTTAGTCACCTCTGTTTCCCTGCAGAGGCAGCCCCCTCTGTGAGGTTCTCCCAGGCCAGCAGCAACGCCCTTCCCCTCCCCCAGTACTCTGCTGCTCAGTCCAGCTGGGTCCACATCCCCATCCCAGCACTCATGAGCAGTGTGACCTTGGGAGTACTACCCAGGCTCTTTTGTGTCTGGGTTTCTTCCTCTGTACGTGGCATGGTAATAGTCCTACCTTCTTGGGTTATCACAGCGTCTGACGTTATCAGAAGCGTCAAAACATGGCAAAGGGATGGCCAGGGATTCAAAGGGTGGGAGGGAAGAACGAATACCAGCACAAGGGATTTTTAGGGCACTGAAACTACATATGATAGTGTGATACATATAGTGATACATATCATTTATGCATGTATCTAAACCCATAGAACACAACACAAAGAGTGAATCCTAATAATGTATTAATGTAAACTATGGGCTTTAGTTAATAATAACGTGTCGATTTGTTTCATCAGTTGTAACAAACGTACCACACTATTGCAAGATGTTAGTAACAGGGAAAATTGAGGGGTGGGGTGAGGGGTAGATGGGCATTCTTTGTACTTTCCGTGTATTTTTCAGTAAACCTAAAAGCTCAAAAAAAACTACAATAATAAATCTATTTCATAATAATCTATTATAATAAATCTATTCTAAATAAAACAAAAAATAAACAGCGAGCCGCCTGAGCGGTGCGAAGCCTTGAACGGTTTTGGTGTTACCATCGCCTGATCATCTGCGCATCGTTAATGCGCCTGGTCCCGAGACTGGAGCCTGGGGCGCTCCCTCCTCTCTCTGCGTGCACCCAGCACCTTTGTAGCTACCGCCGTCGGAGCAAAGCATCCCGGAGGCCAGGATTGCTGAGGTGAGGGCGCCACCTGCTGGCCCTGCTCAAGTCTCCCCTAAAGGCAATGACCGTGGAGTCTTCTTCGGTGTTGTCCTTGGAGCTGCGAGTCCCTTGCTGCGCCACTCATGCAAACCACCTATGTCATGTAGCGATGTCCAGGCTTGTCACCAGTAACGACACGGCAAAGGTCAGATCTTGTGACTTTATTACAGAAGAGTCCCAAAGTGCTGGAGTGCAGTCTAGGTCAGAGCTACCTGCCCAGAGCCGAAGCAGGTGGACACTTCTCGGAGCGGACATCTCGGGGGACCCAGTACTGCTTCTGGGGTAGTAGAGAGGGAGCCGCGCCGGGGCGCGGTCCGCACAGGTGGGAGCAGCGCGATTCCTAGCCACTTGCCGCGGACTTCTCGCTTTGGGCGCCAGCACAGGGGAGTCTTACAACGATGCCAAACACTTAACGGTGTGCCAGGCGCTATTCTGAACATCTTACTGGGGTTAACTAATGTAATCCTCTTGAGGAACATAAGGAGGTAGGTACTATTATGGTTCTCCCCCGCTGTACAAATGAAAGAGTGGAGGCACAGAGAGGCTAAATAACTTGCCCAAGGTCACACAGCCCAAGAAGGGTGGGACTGCGATGGGATCTCCGGAGTCCATGCTGCGTGACCCACCTGTGTGGCTGCCTCTCTCCTTCTCTCATCTAGAAACGGGACTATCATTTCCTCCCTGCCCTTCCAGTCGGCCTGGGGCTGGGGTAAGAGCCTCGAGGTGAACACGCCTCGTCAGTTCTACAGGTTGGGCCGGGGGGGGGGGGGGGGGGGGCCGAGCCGTCTCCGGGCCCTTCCGCCGCTGGCCAGACCCGTGTCCTCGAGCCGGGCCTAGGGCTGGAGCTCGTACTGCCCTTCGGTGGCCGTGTGGAAGTCCTCGAGCACCGACTGCAGGAACTCGAAGGTGGGCCGCTCCTCCGGCCGGCTCCGCCAGCACTCGGTGATGACACCGTGGTACAGCTGTGGCGGGCACGTGTCGGGGCGCGGCATGCGGTAGCCGCGCTCCAGGCAGCGGATGACCTCGGGGTTGCTCATTCCTGCGGAGGAGATGGAGAGCGAGGCTGAGGGCGGGGCCGAGGTGAGGCGCACAGACCGGCGTCCCCTCCCTGGCAGGTCACCTGGCTGTCTGGCTAGTGCCACCCCTAAACATCCCTCTATTCACTTTTCATCGCTTGGAGGACAGCTGGAGAGGAGGCTGTGGGGCCGGTCCTCCGGGTGGGGAACCCTGCCTTGCTTAGCTGGGACTTCCCCGCCGCGGCCCAAGCCCATCACTCACTGGGAAGGCACTTCATGACGGCGCACCAGCCTGCTCAGGGACACGGCTCTTCGGCAGGCGGCTAAGCTGCCCACGCCCCCCAGACATGGGACAGGGAGACTGGGAGATTTCACAGTCAGGAGAGGGCTTTGGGGAATCCACCCAAGGTGGAAGGCCAAGGGGGAGACGACCTGCCCCCAACGGAGAACAAACCAATTCAGGGTAAACTTGAGTTCAGACCCTGACCTGTCCTTACTTCCAGGGTTCGGAGGCTCACTGACCTCTGCTGACCAAAGGGCATGCGGCCCCGTTGCCAGAAGCAACGTTGAGGAAGGAGGTGGAACCTCCGTCCCCAGAGTGACATGCATGGGTCTCTGTTCGGACAGCGGGACTCCATTCTGGCACGTGTGTGGGCAGCGCCAGGCACTAAGCATGGGATATCTGTCATCACAGCCATTTCAGGACAGCAGGGAGCCCACCTAGTCCCTACAGGATGAAGCCACCTACCTGGGTAGGGTACACGCCCGTAAGTGACGATTTCCATCAGGAGGATTCCAAATGACCACACGTCTGCTTTGATGGTGAACACCCCGAAATGGATGGCCTCTGGGGCAGTCCACTTGATGGGGAACTTGGCACCTGTGAGAAAAGCCATGAACAGCTTTGTGAGGCCATGGCTGACTGTCCCTATGCACCTGCTCCCTCCCCTTGGCAGGGCTTGGACCACTGTATGCAACGGAGATGCTCCCAGAGAGCCACTAAGCCCCACTAGGACACATGGCCAGGCACGTGCAGACACTACTAGGGCTCCATAGCTCAGAGGGACAACGTGACACAAATGCCACCTCCATCACCCCAATTGGGTCATTGCCCAGTGGGCTTCAGAGGGCCACCAACATGTGTTTCCACCTGGGACAGAAGAGTCATTCTCCGCCTCATGTGTTTAACCACAGGAATCACGGCTTGGGCAAATCCCCTTAACTCGTCCCTGCCTCAGTTAATCCCTTCCTGCCAAATGGAAACGATGACGGATGACTCATGTCCCACCTGGGGTCCCAGTGAGGAGGGGATTCCAATCCTGCTGTCCCAGGAAGCCCTGTGGACGGCTGCAGCCCTGGTCAGCATTCAGAGTAAACTGCACAGCTCAGCCCTGGATTTCCCCTTACCTCGCCTCGCTTTCTTGGTCTCTCCAGCCAGCTTGAAGCTTCCTCAGCTGACGAGCCCTATTGATCCTTCTCCCGTGCCAACTGATTAACATGCTCAGCTAATATTGCTTGCTTGCCAGCTTACTTGATCGATGTATTGGGCCGTTTCAAGTCCCCTTGGGAAGAGAAGCCCCACCTCGGGTATACTAAGGAACTAAAGCAGAGTGCTCTGTGGGAACCCTAATTCAGCTATAAGCGTTTGCTGCTTTTCCAAAGTGTGTTCTGCGAAAAGCTAGTTCTGTGGGGCATTGACAGAAAAAGTATCTCGGGCTCCAATTCGTTTGGGAGCGACCAGGCGAAGCCCACGTACGCCATTCCTTTGCTGCAAGACTTCTCAGGGCCTTTCGTATGTTGGTGCGCATCAGGAATCTCTGAAGGAGGCCTGGATGGACCATGCAGCATCTCCAAACCTCCTTGACCCAAAACCATTCCTCTTAGTGCCCTGCAGAGCGCCTCTAGGGAAACGCTGATCTAGGTGGGTGTAAGGCCAGAACTGTGAAAACCACAAAGCTTCTCAGATCTCTTCACACAAGGCTCTGCCCTGTAGCAATGAGGAGAAGTCCAAGGGGGTTTAGGGAGGTGGGGAAAGTAAGGCCCAAGGTCTCCCTGTAGATGGGGGCTCTCCTCACCTTCTTGGACAGTGTATTCACTGTCAATGATGCGGGCCAGGCCAAAGTCAGCGATTTTGCAGCACAGGGACTCAGACACCAGGATGTTGGCCGCCCTCAGGTCGCGGTGGATTGAATTCATTTGCTCGATATACGCCATTCCTTCAGCAATCTGAGGGAACAGGTCACACAGTGAAAGACAGCAGAGGGACCTCCGTGCGAGGATGGAGCCCACCCAGCGTCCCCTGCACAGCCCCTGTCAGCAGAGGAAGGACCCTGTCTGGAAGGCCAGCCTTCATCCTCTCACAGCCTGGAAGGGGCAGGAACGCTTGGGAGTGTGTGTCGGGCTTGTTGGTAGGTGCATAGAGGGTGGTTCTGCTGCTGGGGAAGGAGCAGCTCCCTGAGTGGAGACGGAAAATGGCTTCAACCACTCCTCCGTTAGACAAGCCAAAAACTCCAGCCGCCTAAAAGCCCAGCAAAGCATATCTGCTGGTGTCAGAGCCAGAGAGACCTGAACCCCCACCCACTTCTCTCTCCTTGCAAGTGTCTGCAGGGGAGGAAGATAGCAGCATGAAAGCGGGAGAAAATGAAGGTCTCTCAGGGGGCAGGGGAAGAGGACAGGGAAGGAGGGAAGGGAAGGGTCTCATCTCCTTGCCACGCTGGACTCCCTGTTCCTGGAGCGGCGAGCCCTGGATTGGAGTCCTTGACCTCCAGCCCCGGAAGGTTGCTTAAACTCTCTGAGGGGTCACTGTTCTGACTAAGAATTGAGCGAAGGGGGCTCCAGGGTACGGAGTTGAGGTGAGCATTAGGTGGCCAAGGCCCTAACCCAGCACCGCCCGAGGCAGGCGCTCAGAGCGTACGCAGAATCCCAGTGGCACCCAGGCAGTTTCTGTTTCTGTCCCCGATCGCCAGCTCTGGGCCAGGACTAGCTGCTTGAGTTGCTCGTGTGTCTTTTAGTGGAGGACACTCATTCGGGTTTTATCCACGGTGCTCCCAGTTGACGGATGAAGACACTGAGACTAGAATGCCGGTTTCCCTCCTCAGACCTGCTATCGCCAGGAAGCCAGCACTGGAATTTATCCCACTTCTCCCTATGTGTCTGTTTGCATTGGTTTATTCGTGAAGCCATTCACTTATTTATTCTTTTGCTAAATCATTCCATCAATATACATTTATTGGTATGGTTCTGGCCAGGGGGCTGTGAAGCTGAATACCAAATGCCTGGTATCTAGACAGCATTTACTGGTACTCATCCCATTAACAAATATGTATTCAGCAGTACCAGAAATGATTTTTTTTAAAAAGGTTGAGAAGGACCCAGATGTGCTTTCGAGGAGAAGACTATACGGCGCTCAATGCCAACAGAAACGCGTGCACCAAGTGCTCTGTGCCACTTTCCCGTCCAGGGAAATTTAATTTAATTTAATTTAACTTAAGTCTTGAACACCGATCAGGAGTTTGCCAGATGAGTTTGCCACTGATCAGGAGAATGCCAGGGTTCTGCCCAGGCATTCTGAGCAGAGGGGGAGCCTGAGCTCACAGGTGTGACAGCACGTTTGGGACCTTGGTGACTCTGCCAAGTAGGGCACGTGGGTGGTGGTTGTAGGGGAGGTTTGAATTACATCCTGCAAAGCAAGAAAAGGAGTGCCCAGAAGGGTAGTGTGTGTGTGCACGCACGCATGGTGAGGCGCTAGCATGATGAGAATGTGGTTAGAAGCCGTTTACCTGGAAGGTTCTGATTTTCTGGTTTCCTAACCCTTAGATTCTTGGCCACATCTAGGTCTAAATGCAGGTGGCTTTTCATATCCTTCGTCCCTTAGTGATCCAAGATTTCTCCAGGGATTGAGAAAGAGACAGAAGAGAGCGAGAAAAGGAAAAGAAAGAAAGAAAAGGGGTGGACAGGTTTATCACTGTTATGTGGTTTGAAACTGGTTAGCAGCGTGAATTTTCCGAGACCACTCACCAGCTGGCTCAAACCCATCTGTGCTTACCTCAGTGGAAAAAGGGCATCGTGACATCAGTTCCTGAACTGATACTAACAGCAGATAATACCAGATAAGGTGGAGATGGGGCGGTGTGGGGTGAGGGGGAGGTTTCCTTTCTGTAGCCGGATGTGTGTGTGTGTGTGTGTGTGTGTGTGTGTGTGTGTGTTTATGTGTCTCACAGGCTGACCACAGACCAGAACTTTTCTGCTGAGGGTCCCAGTTTTAACAGACATACACACTCAGGGCCACCAGATGTGTTTTCCTGCCAGTTAGAACCCTCAGCTAACTGAGGAATCCTCGGGGAGGAAAGATGCCTCCTCTCCGTTTTACTCTTCACTTCATGAAGTCTGGATTGTGATTCACCTGCTGTAGAAGGCATTTCTGGGCACCATCAGAGGAAGAAGTGAGGTAACAGCAAAACATCTGCCTACAGTGTTAAATGGGATTCATGTGAACGGATGGGCTTCCCACACCATCCATTCTCCCTCTCTAGTAATAGGACTCACCTCATCCCATCCTGGCTGCCCAGAGTAGAGATTACATTTCCCAAGCTCCCTTGCAGCCTAGGTGTGGCCAGGTGACATGGTTGGGGGGGGAAGAGGAGGGTGTTAAAGCAAGTATAGTAGGTGACTTCAGGGACACGTCTCTACAGGGAACATGGTGGGCTTTCTTCCCCCTTACTTCTTCCTGCCTGCCGAGGAGAGGACAAGATGATGAAGTGTGAACAGCCGTCTTGGACAATAAGATGACATATGCTAAGTACCCAGCAGGTGGAAGAATCGTGTGGCTTTGAGGGGCAGACCCACCTACCTGCCCCAGACTGCCCACCTCTGGATGTTTATGCATGTAAACCATTATTGCTTTGGGTTTTCTGTCCTTCACAGCCCAACTTAAATTTAATGGATACAACCTCTAAATAGCTGACTTTGTTAAGCCATAGGGCACAGAGGAGAGGGCCTTGGGTCCTGGGTCCTTTGGGGCATCATGACTCTCGGGAGCTGCTGCCCTCGGTAGCTCACAAACCTGGGCTGACATGTCGATCAGTCTCGGGAGGGACAGTCGGCTACCTTCATCTGTCTTCAGGAAATCCAGTAAGCATCCTACGGAAAGAGATGTGGCATCTGCCCTTCTGCAAAATGATCCAAACCTGGCTGTGCCAGCCTCTCCCAAGCGTGGAATGCTCCCCACCTGGTGTCAGGAAGTACGGGGCGCCCTGTCAGATCTCTAGTACGTCAAAAGGAACCCACCCATCGCTTCAGAGTGCTTTCTTCTTTACAGAAATTCTACCCACAGTCCTCATAACACCCCAGGGGGCAGCAAATGTATTCCCAGCTGCTCAGAGGAGGTTGGGTTTCATCCAGGTTCGGGATCACCCAGCCAGGGAACCAGGTACGGAACCTGCTCTTTGACTGTAAGTTCAGTGCTTCCTCCTCACGTGACTTTCCAAAGTGTCTCCTTGCCCCCTTCATCCCTTGTTGGTAGAGATTCTGCCTCCGAGGACCAAGGGGGCAAGAAAATGCGAATGGAGAGACCTGTCCCTGGGGTTTGGTGCAGGAGACCAATGCAGCTCCTCTTTGGCATCTAAGAGCTGGGAGGGACGGTCACCTGAGGTGGGGCTGAGAGGTGAGCAGGGGAGCCATCGTACTCCCAGCTCAATGTGGGGTCCCCTTCACGACGATTTCTAAGGAACTGTGTTATCATGGCACCTTAGGATCCTATAGGAAGCAATGGGCAATCAGGATCACAGGAAGGGTAGGAAGGAGGTCACAGGCTGAGGCCCGACCCCTGGCCCACTGACCTATGAAACCTTGACCCCACCATGGACCTCAATGGCCAGCTGGACCAATTTCTCTTTTCATCCATGTCAAATGCTCATATGGTTGTCAAAGGTCCCACGCCTAGTAAGTGGCAGAACTGGGACCAGAACCCATGTCTGGATGCCCGGCTCGCTACTCTTTGCGATGCTGTGTCCTCCCGAGTGGGCATCAAACAGTGCTGGGCACAGAAGATGCCCTCCAAAAGTGTGGATTGAAGTGCTCCTGAATGGAGGACACAGTTCTGTAAGAACCACTGACCCATCTTGTATCTGATCATCTGCCCTCCTGCTCCCCAGGCACACGGAACAGAGTGGACGTTGGCTAATTGCTCCAGCCCGTGGCCGAGTGATCCCCCATGGAGATCCCTCGCCGGCAGACCCACTGTGGCACACCAGCCTCACCCCTGTCCACCCCTCCCCACCCCTGAGGGATGCAGCCCTACGCAGGGCACCACCTCTGGCCATGTACTCGGTCACGATGTAAATGGGTTCCTTGGTGACCACGGCGTAGAGACGAACAAGCCTCTCATGCTGGAGAGTTTTCATCAGGTTGGCCTCACCCAGGAAGGCCTCCGGAGACATGGTCCCCTCCTTTAGAGTCTTGATGGCCACTTTCACGGTGTTTTGGTAATAACCTGAGCACCGGTAGGGGAGAGAATAAAGAAGCCATTCAGAAGACCCAGAGGTTGTGGAAGGCGATCCCTTAACCAAAATGTACATAAGCTTCCAGGATCCCTCCTCATTCTACAGGTGCAGGACTGAGGCCAGAGCTGTCCCCCTAGGAAGAAGCCCTGGGCTAGAATGTACAGCTTCGGAGGGTGAGCTGGCTTATTTGACAGGATGCCAGCCTGTCTCAGCCTCTCGAGCTCAACTGGAACCTCAGGCAGTTAACCTCAAGAACTTACCTTGCCTGGGAGGGGACCGTTTTACCTTTGCCCCGAGGGATAAAATAAAACATGGTCTTTTATAGTCTGATAGTGCCCATGGTGAACAGGGGAGTGATCATCAACTATACACACAGGAACCTGAAAGTTAAGTGACTTGGCCAGAGTCACACAGCCACAAACAGTGGCTTGGTCTATTATCAGACCCCTGGAGCCCCTGGTTCACTGCTTACTATGTTTAACAGGTCATTTCTGTCTGGCAAACCAAAGCTAAGAGGAGATAGCCTTATGTTCAAGTTCACACACCTGTCAATTGCAAGCTAGCCCTGGACAGTGAAGAGTGAGTGAGGGAACCAACCAAGGTTTTGGGAGAGCTGGATTCTATTCCTGCTGCATCATCACAGTGTCCTGAGGGGAAGTGACTTCAATGTCCTAGCCTGCCATTCATTATCTCATCTGTAAAATGGGTATCATGGCCTCTGTCCCTCTCCCGAACAAATGTTTTGGGGAAGCATGATGAACTGTGCGTATCTTGAGCCTTCTGTGCTTCGGGACACAGGGCAGGGAGAGAGAGGCTTCTGGCTGCCACATACTCACCCATCCAGACTTCGCCAAATTGCCCAGACCCGAGTTTCCTGACCAGCTTGAGAGACTGCCGGGGGATTTCCCATTCATCTTGGACCCACAGGTCTTGGGAAGCCAGGCTGACACAGGGTTGGGTGAGCCTCTGGCATAAGCCATCCCCTTTCTCTGCATTAGGGAAGAAGAGATGGGGCTGGAGGTTACCAGAGCAGCCAGATCACATGTCTCCCTTGGGGACCATGTCCTTCCCAGCTGTGTCCCCCTCTCATTTTTGCCAACTATACTCCCCTTTCCAAGTACACATGTGCACGGGCACACACATACTACACACACACTCAGCTATTTGCATTCATTTTGTATAAAGTGAGGCATGCTATCATTAACCTGCTCTCTCTAAGATTGAAAATACTTGTTATTCTCCAAGTGGTCACATGCTGAGCCAGGAGAGGGAATTAAGGACATAGACTTTGAGTCATTATGTTGACATTTGTCCAGCCTTGGGATAATCCACCCCCCCCCAAGATGGCACCAGTGAGTCACATGATCGTGAGATCTTAGTGATAGATACAAGGGGTCCTCTACTCCCCACCCCCACCACATCCTCTTCTCTTACGAGAATAATGTTGCACCAAAGCCTGGAGAGTGGGGAAGGTGATGCGGGGGGAGATGTAATAGCCCCCTTCATCCAGGGAGCGGATCTTGTAGTGTTTGATCACCTCCCCCTGGGTGGTCACATCCTTCACAGTCAAAGAAAAGGCACCTAGACGGGTAATAGAGATACACGAATGAGAAGTAAGGCATACAGAGGGAAAATCAGGATTGGGATTTGGGCTTCATTTCACTGCCACTGGAAATTCTGCTCCCCTTCCACCATAAGTTACTTTTTCTTTCACTTCAATCTCAACCCTCCAAAAAACCTTTACTATGATCTCCACCCAACTCTGACCTTGATATTCCTCCCCCAATTTCCTAAAATTCAGTCATGGGATCACAGAACTCTGGAGCAGACAGGATATTCTCCCAGCAAACACGATGTCCCTCACATGGGCCCCTGGTCATTCGGGGACACTTTGCCATGGACTACTGAGAAATGTAGAGTTATTGGAGGGACTAGGGGGTTGATTGATTCATTGATTCATTCGTTCATTCATTCTAGCTGAAAAGGCTGACCTTACCTCCACAAGCAATAGCAAATCCCAACCTTGAAGCACTCATGTTTGTGGAGGAGAACATAAGCAGCTATTTACTGGAGTTCTGTACAAATTTATACACACACCTATGCATTTTGTCGTGTACAAGGGGTAGCAGGTGCTAAAAGTTAAGAACAATTTAGGAAGCAAGAGTTCCCCATGGAGAAACTTCCTTTCACAAACTTGGTGTTTTTATAAAATGCCTCTGTCCAGCTCTCCGGGTCCCACACCTGCCACTCTTATGCAGAAGATGAGGAAACTGAGGCCAAGAAGGGGAATGCTGTTTGCTCCTGGTCACTCTGCTGGTTAGCAGCAGGCTTCAGGGCTCCCGATCCTCCCTGAGGACGTGTTTACCGCAAGCAATACCACTCTGCCCCGCCAGGTGTCAGGCTCGGACACCTCTTTTTCCGGTGTGGACCCTTGATTTTTCACTGTGCTGTTTCCATCTCAAACCCCCTTTCCCTCTCATCTCCCTTAGGTATCACACCTCTCATCACCTACTTGCAAAAGGATGCAAGATGTGTGCACACCTTGCCGCTGCTAAGCCCATTCTCTGCCCATGACACCAGCCCCAGCCCGAGTGCTGCAAACGGTCTCCCCCATGCCCCTTGGTAAGTGCAACTGTGCCCCAGTATCTAAAAACCCAGAGAGTGGCTCTAGTAAGTTCATTTATCCTCGCGTCACCCTAGCAAGGAAAAGGGTCTTTCTCCTCATTTTGTCAGCTGCACCCTGTGTAGGCTGCATCATAAGTAGCCAAGGAGACCCTGCTTTCATCCACATAGGACTGCTCTCCAAGCTCGTGATTTGGGGCCTCCCTCTTGCCCTGGTTCATCCAACAGCCTGCCCCTGGTATCTTTTGACAGCTCAGTGTTCTTCTTAAAGGGGACCTCCAGATCCAATCAGCTTCCGGTTCAGGCTTCTTAGAGATTGAGATTTCCTTTTTTTTTTTTTTTAAAGTTTATTTATTGAGAGAGAGAAAGAGAGAGAGTGTGTGGGCCCTGAGTGTGGAGGAGGGGCAGAGAGAGAAGGAGAGAGGGATTCCCAAGCAGGCTCCATGCTCTGTGCAGAGCCAGACACGGGGCTCGATCTCACGACCGTGAGATCATGACCTGAGCCAAAATAAGGAATTGGATGCTCAACCGACTGAGCCACCCAGGTGCCCCCAGAGATTGAGATTTCTTAACACTGGCAGAACTGCCTGCCTTCAGACAGGGAAACTAGTTGGTCCTCATACAGATATGAATAAACTGAGGCTTGAGAGGTTAAGGGACGTCCTGGAGGCCACAAGGGGCTAGAGTTCACTTCCCTTGCTTCTGAGGGCAGCATTCCTTCCCTGTCTGGCATCCTCTGGCTGTGGCTTTCAGATGCACTTGTTTTGGAGTTCTGAGAAGTATGTGTACCTGTGTGTGTGTGTGTGTGTGTGTGTGTGTGTGTACGTGTGTGGGGGTGGTGATGCTGGGATGGTCCTCAGCTCCAGCTCTATCTGGCCAATTTCCAGCTTAGACTAGTGTGGACAAGGACAGGAGGGGATACCCCTACCTTTGGAGAACCCCCTCCTCCGTACTGAGGTCATGAGTCCCTTTCTCTCCACTGGGCACCTTAGCAATAGGAAATGATTAAAACATCATTTCCAGGGTGAAATGACACGATTCTGGAGCTTGCTTCAACATAATAGGGATGGGTGGGGATATACGTGAAGTAAGATTGGCTGAGTGATCATTTGTTGAAACTGAGTGTTGGGTACCAAGGCTTCCATTATACTATTTTCTCTGCTTCTGTATATGTTCGAAATATTCTACAACCACAAAACATTATGTCATCTCCAGTGATTTCCATATTGTTTTTTGATCATAGGTGCTTTGCTGTTAAAATGGAATAGTGGCAATATCTTAATGTGTGTGTGTGTGTGTGTGTGTGTGTGTGTGTATAATTTAATGCATCCATTGGTGCATTTCCAGAAATTCTGCACAGAGCACCCAACTTACCAATGCACCCCTCCTTCTCCTCAACCTGACCCTGACTCCCTTTTTTTTTTAAAGTTTGTTTATTTATTTTGAGAGAGAGAGAGAGAGAGAGGCAGAGAGAGAGGGGGAGATAGAATCCCAAGCAGGCTCCACACCATCAGCGTGGAGTCACATGTGGGGCTCAAACTCACAGAAGCATGAGATCATGACCTGAGCTGAAACCAAGAGTCGGACACTTAACAGACTGAGCCCCCCAGGCACCCCAGCCCTGACCTTTTGAAGGGCTGGGAGGCCTAGGGATCGCCCCTGAGCCTCACAGGGTGTAATGAGCATCTCTCTTTGTCTAGCTTTTGCGGCTCTGGTGCTTTCACTCGCCGCATTTCTCAAGCCATGAATGGAGCTGAGGGATGAGTCCGGGGTGGGGATGGGGGGTGGAGGGGCTCCTACTACCCAAACCTATCTATTCTCATTGCCCAACCACAGGGTATCCACTAACAATCCAGCCATCCTCTCTCGTCCTCCTCCTCTGATGTCACTGTCACCACCTCCTTTCTCTCTAGTTAAAAATTGGCCACGAGGACGTCATAGGTCCCTATGTGCCGTATCCTGATAAACAAATGATTACTTTACACATCTTGGGAAATTCCCTTCCATCACCCAGGTTAGGCCAGCTTGACACATTTTAGAGCCGTTTTTTCTTTTTAAAATTTTTAAATGTTTACTCATTTTTGGGAAAGAGAGACAGAGAGAAAAAGAGAGAGAGAGGATGTGGGGGAAGGTCAGAGAGACAATCCGAAGTGGGGTTTTCCAGTGACAGCAGCGCCCAATGTGGGGCTCAAACTCACAAACCATGAGATCATGACCTGAGCCAAAGTCGGATGCTAAATCGACGGAGCCACTCAGGCGCCCCACATTTTAGAGTTTTTGACGCCTCTTAGATGAGTTGGGATCTGAGCTTTGTTCACTGTAGGCCTCATGTGAGTCACTTCCTCCCTTAGGGACTCATTTTCCTCATCTTCCAAATGGGGGTATTGGCTCAGCACCCCAAAGATGGCAGACATGTACCAGGAAGCATATATATATTAAGGTTCAGAGCAACATGTTCACAACAGCCCCAAAGTGGAAACAACACATGTCTACCAACATTAAAAAGGAGGAATAGCTTATGGAATATTAACATGCTGGATTCTGGAGAGCAGCGAAAGTGAACAGACTATTGCCATACTCAACAACATGAGTGGACCTGTTATGGGCTGAATTGTGACCCCCCCACCCCCACCCCCGAATTCTTACGTTGAACTCCTAACCTCCAGTACTCAGAATGTGACTATATTTGGAGATGGGATCTTTAAAGGGGTGACTACGAGGCCATTGGGGGATTCTAATCCAATATGATTGGTGTCCTTGTAAGAAGAAGAGATTAGGACACCGACTGAGGAAAGACCAGGTGAGGACACAGGGACAAGAGGACCATCTACAAGCCAAGGAAGGAGGCCTCGGAAGAAATCAGTCCTGCTGACATCTTGATCCTGGACCTCTGGCCTCCATCCCTGTAGACAGTACATTTAGGTTGTTTAAGCCTCCCAGCCTCTGGTACTTTGTTATAGCAGCCTGGCAAATTAATAACGAATCTCACGATGCCAAGTGCAAGGAACAAGACACACACACAAAAAAATAGTACTATTCCACTCTCATAGAGTTGAAGAACAGATGAAACATGGATGGTAAAACTGTAAGGAAAACCAAGGAAGGATTTCCCCAAAGGTTGAGATAGCAGTGACCTCTCTGGGGGGGCGGGGGGAGGGTTGTTGAATACAGAAGGGGCACAAGTGGAGCAGTGAGAGGGGTTATGGATGTCTGGAATGTTCTCTCTCTTGTGGTTACACAGGCATTTACTTATTACGACTCTGTATGTATAATTATGGACTCATCTATGATTTATGCAATTTTTATATGTTCTATATTTTATAACAAAAGGAGCTTTAAGATGGAAAGAAGGAGAGAAAATTAAATGAAAGACAACGAGAAAGCCCAGTGGCCTGCGGATGGTGGCAGAATTGTGTCTCTCAGTCAGCGGGTTTGAATCCACGAGTGCTCCCAGTTCTCCACAATGGCCACCCCCTTCCTTCATCTCCAGCCACAGGCCATTCTGCAAACTTATGTTATCTTCCAAGCTCCTGGAAGTGTCTGTGGTCACAGCGTTCGGCTGAGATTATCTCTAAGGAGTCTCAGCTCTCAAATCCTTTGATTCCAAATGTGGCTCTGGGTTGTGCCCCTTCTTCAGACCCCACCAGCCTCAGCACCCCCGCTGAGCCAAAGATGGTGCGCAGTGGCCCTGGGTGGAGACAGCTCTCCAACTGCACCTCCTACTTGCACCCTGTACATTTCCAGCCTGGCCAAGGGACACCTGTTGGCACTGAAGCCTCCACTCAACTACTAGGCGCTAGATGGGCTGTCCAGGCAGGGCCTGAACTGGAAGGGAGACCAGAGGCCTGGAAGCCACTGGGCTCTCCTGGCTGGTGTCTCCCTCCCGTCCTTCCCTCCCAGACATAGCCTCAGGTCGGGGTTCCCGGGGACCACACAAGAAGGCCATGCTGGGCGCCATGCTTACCTTTGTTGGTTTCACTCTCTCTGATAAGAAAGGAGCCCGCCTTATTGATTGGAGCCAGAAGCTGCCTCTCAGCATCTTTCCGGCTAATTGATCTAAAGAACCACCTGAAAAAGGAAGGCAGACAAACCTCAGAGGCTGGTCATGCTCCGCAGAATATTCTTTTTCAAACCTCCCTCCTAAGCCGTATGCCTCACCCCGAGAAATAAAATAGTGTCCTACTGTTTTCGACTTAACCATGAACTAATAACACTCCTCACATCTTGATTCATGAAAATGCCCCTTGGTCCCTGTGCCTCTCTTTTCTTCTCACTTCCCATCAGGGGATGGACTTACTATTTTCTTGAAATGAGAACGTTTTGGGGGGTGCCTTTTGTTAATTCTATTCTGGGAAAATGCACCCAACCACCATCCCTTAAAGGACATCTTGAGGTACCTGGGTGGCTCAGCCAGTTGAGCGTCCGACTTCGGCTCAGGTCATGATTTCACAGCTTGTGGGTTTGAGCCCCGCATCAGGCTCTGTGCTGACAGCTCAGAGCCTGGAGCCTGCCTCAGATTCTGTGTCTCCCTCTCTCTCTCTGCCCCACCCCCATTTGCTTTCTATTTCTCTCTCTCTCTTAAAAATAAATAAACATTTAAAACGTTTTTTCTAAAAAGCACACCCTCCTCAAGGTCAAGTCTCTGAATTAGACAAAGTGCTGAGACTCTCAGAGCACAGATTCCTGCCGTGTTCCTCTCAAGCTTGGACCAGTCAATGTGGAAGTAAGTGCCCATGGTCCCACACCTTTACAGCTTTCTCAGTCCTTGGGCAGAGTCAGGCTGTGGGTACTGTTTGCTCAGTGCGTGCTGTGTGAGGGAATGAATGACTGAGGCCCTGACTGGCTGAGGTAGACCTTCCTGGTGTCGTGTGGAAGTAGGTTATGAGGACATTGGGGAGCACTGCCCTCTGTAACCCAATTCTGAATGAGGTCACCACTCTGTGAGCCCCCGTGAGGTCTGAGCTCCTGAGTCCTGCCCACTGGAGGCTTTGGAGGAGAAGTGCTGATCACTGTGCCTTGATGTTAGCTTTGCGAGGCCATGGACCAGGAAAGGGGCCAGGAAAGGTCCCATTTCACAGATGGGAAAAGTGTGCTCAGCACGGCGGGGTGGCTCCCTGAGCACCAGACACCAGACAACACCAGACACTCAAGATGACCTGAGGGTCATCTTGAATGGTGGACAAGTCTTCCCCAACAATCCCAATTCCCTTTCCCTTTCCTGTCCCCTCTATTCTGGGCTCACAGAGGTTCTCTTTTCACCTCTTTTGGCCCCCTCCCTGCCCAGCAACCCCCAGAGCAGCAGCAGCAGCAGCAAGCAAGCCTCTGCTTTTGAAGGGCCTTCCGATGGTCCACCTACTTTTCCACCTCCAGGGTCTCTACTCGGGCCACAAAGTTGCTGGGCACGTAGCCTTCTCTTCCTGTGATGAGAGACCTGGCCAACCACCAGTCTCCAACTCTACGGAGGAAGAGGAAAAACAAAAATGAGATCGTGGCTGCTGCGGGCCTCTCCTAGGGGGCAGCCCCCAGCCCTCGGCCCGGGCCCCCCCCCCCCACCCCAGCAGGATCTCATCCCAGAGGCGGAGGATTCAGAGGGCTGGTGAGAGGGAATCTGGGCAAGTTGCTCAGGGAGGGGTTGCTAACTTGCCGAGCATCAGGCCGGCCCAGGGAGGAAGGAGATGGTGCGGCTTGTCCACACGGCCTGGCCACCCCAGAGGGCCCCTGTCTTCCCTGAGTAGCCTTCCTCTGGATTAATGGGACAGAGGAAGAATTTAGTGAGTTGGGACTGGACGGGAAAGCCAAAAGCAGGAGGAGAGCTGTTCAGAGGAGGAGCCGGGCTCCCTGCAGCGTAGACCCCGAAGGCCCGGGTTTTCGTGCTTTTGGTTCAAGGCCATTGCAGAACTTCAAGAACAAAAGCAGACCCCCAGGGCTCCACAGGACAAGCCAGATGTTCGAGAGAGAACCGGCTTTGGAGGAGTTTCTGAGAAGGAAGCCTGGAAATAAAGCTGATTTCATGAGTGGAATCCTGTGTGAGATCTTGTCCAGCAAGGGAGACACACAAAGCTGTGGTGGAGCAGCTAGGCAAGCACTGTCAGAGGGCTGCATGGAGGAGGTGATGTTAGCAGTGGGTTTTGAAGGAAGAGTAGGCTTTTGGCAGTGGAGCAGGGGATAGAGAATGGAAACCACCACATGAGGCAGACTTTGGAATGGTAGCTAGAAGGAAGACGATTGGGTCAAGTTAAAAAAAAAAAAAGTGGGTGACTGGGCTGGGGCAGGGCAATGGAGAAGATCCTCTGGACGCAGCCATGGAGGGTGTGGGTGTGGGTGGGGAGGTGGACGGTGGGGTGGGAGTCCTGCCATGACAGGGAGCCACCGAGGCCTCTGACCACAGGACAGCCTTCCAGAAACTTACTCCTTTAATATCTGTAGCTTCTCCCCCTTCAGCATTTGCAGGTCCCTGTCATTCACTGAGGTGTAGTCATACTGGGCCACCACGAAATGCTCCTCTAGAGTGAACAAGGAAGAGATGGGCACCCCCCCCCCCGGGCCCACCAGGTAAGTCGGTGCAATGGGCCATCTCTGGCTGCTAAGGGGTCAGGATGAGGCAGGGACATAGGGGAGGCTGTGGTGAGCTTTCTTGCTCACCGGTGCAGCACAGGCAATTCCTGTCCGGCAGATTGACCTCCTGACCTTGCTGCTGGGAACAAGGAAAGGGCTGCCCCTCAGAGCCCATCCTGGCTTCTCTTCTGCTCTCCACATAGGAGCCTTAAGGCCTGGACAGGGTACGGTCTAAGGGAAAGGACAACCCAAAGATCTAGGGAGATTGGCCACATGGGTCTGATGGCTGCAGTCCCAAGTCTGGAAACGAGTGTTGGCTGATTCCTTATTGCCTCAGAGAACATGAGCTTCCCTACTCTTCCTCTTCCCCACCTGCCCCTTCCCACCTCTTTTCCAAAGAGGGTAGTGGTCTTGGAACATGGCCACTGTAACCTTGACCTGTAACCATGCCCAATGCCCTGTCCCAGTGCTCTTGGCAGGCAGTCTCTCTGACTTGCCAGTGGTTCCTGGAATGGACATTCAAATGACCACTGCTAGTGAGGAGGGCTTTTCTGCAAAGCTCCAGGGAGCCAAGACCCGCCTGGAAAAGGTCAGCTGGAGACTACCTCGTTTACCTGGGAGTAGATCACCCAGCTTTGTCACCAATGTGTGGTGTGACATTGGGCTCATCACCTCCCCATGGTGGGAAGAGGCAGTTGGAATAGATGACAGTGGCCCCCTCCAGTCCTGAGATTCAAGTTATTGCACCAAAGGCAGTTCATTTATTTTTCGCCCCCTGAGATTCCTTACTGGAGATATGAAGTTCCCGGCAGGAAGTGAAGGGTAAACCCTGGTAATTAATGGTGAATCATGGTAATTAATCATGATCCCCAGTAGGATAGGATGAGGAACACCAAGTAGGAGAACTAATCTCTGTTTAGCATTTTGCTCATGAGTTTGACAGACTCTGAGCTCTTTCAGGGAAGGAGGCACGTCTTACTCAGTTCTACAGTTTCTCCAGGACTCGAACCCGGCCAGTCTCTGGGTACTTACTATTTGCTCTGTGTGTGCTGTGTGAGGGAATGAGTGACTGAGGCCCTGACAGAGCTCTTGGTGCCATGTGGAAGTGGGCTGTAAGTGCCTGTAAGCTGATTCTGAATGAAGCTACATCCTGTGAGTGCTCCCAAGGTCCAGAGCCCTGACCCAGGAAGGCCAAGGTCACTCATTATAGGACCCCCAACTGTCCTATCCATCAGAGTGGAAGTAGAGACTGGGGGTGAGGGAGGATGGTGTGAGTGGTCAGAAGGTCAGCAGTGGCCTTGAATAGTGGGGAAGAAGTGGGAAAAAAGATGGTGATGGGACGCCTGGGTGGCTCAGTTGGCTGAGCGTCCGACTTTGGCTCAGGTCATGATCTTGAGGTCTGTGAGTTCGAGCCCTGCGTCGGGCTCTGTGCCGACAGCTCATAGCCTGGAGTCTGCTTCAGATTCTGTGTCTCCCTCTTTCTCTGCCTCTATCATCTATCATCTATCTATCTATCTATCAATCATCTATCTATCTATCTATCTATCTATCATCTATCTATCTATCCATCTATCTCTATCTCTATCTCTCGGAGGAAAAAAAAAAGATGGTGCTTCCATTCACAGAATAGACTGAGGGCAGGAGGGAAGACGCAGACCTATTATGGGCCCTCGCCCTTTGAGTTAGGAGTTAGAATCTTTGAAAACTTAGGTTTGTTTGTATGCCATTTGTATTTACTGTAATGCTTTTTCTTTTTGTCCCATTTATAGTCTGTAAAGTCCTTTTTTAAAGAAAACCCACCCAGGCTCAGATACAGGAACTGGTGCTTGGTTCCTGGAGAGGCCCCTACGGGCAGGTGAAGACTGGGGCAGAGCTGTGCCCGGCTCAGCACCCCCAGCCCCAGCCTCCTTTCTGACCCTAGAAGGCCCACCCAGTCCTTTCCAGGAAGTGGCCCCCTACTGGGCCCCTGTGTTGACTGCTCATGGTCGGGAGGGGAAGATGGCTTGTGGAGCCTCAGCTTCCAAAGCAGCCCCTTCTTACCTTGGTCTGGGTGCATGTCCGGAGGTGAAGGAGCCAGGTGGTTAAACAGGACCTGAAGTAGAGACACAGGAACGCTGCATTAGTTCAGCCCCGAGGCCTGGGCAGGCCTGGTGTGGCAGGAAGGTTGCTGGGCCCGGCAGCTGGGTGGTCTTAGGGGTGCTGCTGTCAGCAGGAGGTTGCACAGGTAAATTGTGCACACGGTGCCACCAGTCTCAAGTACCACTGCCATCTCACACAGTCCCTGGACCGTACACAGGGTTAGAGGAGGAGGGTGTGGGGGCGCCAGCTTATTCATGTTAGGATTCACTCTGTCTCTCTCTGCCCTTCCCCTGCTCGTTCTCCCTCTCTCACTCTCAAAATAAATAAATAAACATTTAAACAAGAAAGAAAACACAAACACATAACATAAATAACACCGAGAAAAAGGGTCTGGCGGCAGGAGCTCTGGAGTGCGAACTCTGGGTATCCTTGGCGAGTGGGATGATGAGTTATTTACAATTTTTCTCCATAATTAGTATATATTATGTGACTTTTTAAAGTAAAAAACATTCCAGGTTCTATTACTTATTAGCATAAGTAATATGCTAATATTACTCTATGTAATCTGAGTTTACCCCGCCATCATTCATTCATTCAACAAACATTTCATTGTTCTGTGCCAAGCCCTGGATTACGTTGGGACACAGATAAAATGCCTAGTGGTCTAAGAAATGAGATTAGCAATCCCCACCCTTCATCAGGTCACTGTTGGAGTAAAGTGATGACCATCTGAATGTGCTCCTCGAGGCAGAGAGCAAGAAAGCAGGTTCCAGGCATGACTCACCGCTGCCCAAACCAAAAAGGAGTAGGGGGCTAGGTGGGGGAAGGGGGTGTCACAAACAATCATCTAAAAACGCACTTTTGGAACGTAGTAGCCTCCGTGCAAGGGTGCTAAACGCTTTGTAAACAAGACAGAACTGCATCACCAGCTCCAGGAAGGGGACAATGACTTCCAGGAGCTTCTGGGTGGGAATGGGGCAGCAGATGTTGCTAAACGCCCCAGACCCTTTCCCACCACACCCTCCTCTCAAGCTGACCTTTTTGATTTCTTTTTCTCTTCAAGGCTCCCCTTGCGAAATGAAAACTGGGTAAGAATTATTGGAAACTAACCCGATCCTGTGTAAAGGTAATATATAATGGGATTGCACAGTTGTATAATACATGTACTGTTGCATCCCTGTCAGAAAGGCACTTTCATTATACCCATTTTACAGATGCAGAAACTGAGGCATGGGGGAGTTAAGTAACCTGCTTCAAAGTACACAGCAAATCCATGTAAACACTGGCAATCTGGAATGTTCCACTATCTTGCCACACCAACATGAGGTGGGTGCCACGTTTTGGTGGCAGTGACAGGGGGCTGATTTGTCAGAGCCCTGAATTCTCTAGAGGTGGCTCTGCGCTGGCTGGAAACAAGCAGCAGCCCCCAGGGAGCCGCCCTTGCTCCCTGCTCTTCTTCCTCCCCCTCCCTCCCCAGCTGGGAACAGCCATCACTCACCAGGGGAGGCAGTGGTGGGGGATCTTTGCTCTGGGTGCTGACCTTCACAGGGCTCCAGAGGCCCTTACCTTTCTCCTTCACCTGCTTTTTGCTGCTCACCACTCCCATCCTGTCGGAGAGCACACAGCAGATTGGTGATGTGAGTAGGTCTTCAGAGCCTCAGTACAGAAGAGCTCCCCCAACTCCTTCCAGGTGGCCAATTAGAAAGGCGGGGCGGAAGTGGGAGGGGCAGTGGAGGCCAAAATCAGAACATGAAGCCAGTAAGCGGTTGGGCAGGCTAAGTTTGCATCCATCTTTTTTTCCCAGAGCAGGAAGAAGTAGACCAGAGAGGACAAATGACTGGGTTTAGGACAGAGATCATCCAGGTCTGAGCGAACTGCCAGAAACTGCTGGGGTGAGCCCTAGTGCCTTGGGGATAGGAACCATCTAGAAAGAGTCTGACCAACGTGCCTGATGGTCCGGGTTTAGCCTTCATTTTGCCACTGGCTGTATTACTTGGGAAGGTCAAGTTCCTCTCTTGGTCCATGTTAGGACATGTCTGAGGTTCTTTCCCACTCAGATTTTCAGATGAGATGCTATAAATTCAGGGCACACTGATGGTATAGGCGTCTGAGGCCAACAGCGTCTTCTCAGTAATATCAGAGAGTCTTCCATAAGTGAGAGAGATCGGCCAAGATTTTTCTTGGGTAAAGGATCATAGAGTTATAGAAGTGGGAAAGATGCCAGAGACCACAGCCGACACCACCACATCAGCACCGCCCTCATTCCAGGGGCAGCTATTAGGAAGGACTTACTCTTGAACTTCACAAAGCCTATCTCATGTCATCCTTTTAACTCTAAAGTAAGTGTAAGTAGGCATCATCCCTGTCCCAGAACTGAGCTTTGAGGTGTTAAATAGCTGGTTCTTGGTCAAACCAGTAACCAACCAAGAGCCAACTGTGGACCCCTGGCTGACCCCAGACCACTACAGTCCACCTCACACCTGGCCCATCCCCAAGACACAGACATTTATAGAGGAAAGGACCTTGAGTCCCTGTTCTTGTCGGAAGGGCCATGTGGTTGATGGAGAGTTCCTGACTGTTTTCGCATGTGTTCATATTTCATCGATTCCGGGATGCACCTTTTTTCACTCAACATCTCTTGAAACTGCATTGTGTTTTACACCCGACGATGATTCATAAAGTAAATAGCAGCATCCTTTTTCCCTCTCTTTTAGTGATACATAGAATAAATGTTAGTCTTCCAAACAGCGGTGTCTTAGATTTACTGAAACGCAGTGATGTTTTCTTCTAGAAAGTTGAAAGCACATGTCTCATATTAATTCTCCTCAAACTCATCTTGAAAAAAAGGAAGACTGGAGTAATTCTAAATATAGGAGAGAGATCCCCAATAACAAATAATCCATAATTTGTTTTTTGAGCGTGCTTTGCGTACAAAACATGTAATACTTCACATTTGTAAAGAACAGCACTTCTCTGTATTCAAGTAGTTTCTTTATGTCAGTTCGCATAAACCTTAGCAGTAAATGAAATGCCAAAGTTACAGGCCAACATTTTACTTTTCAGAGATTTCTTGTTATCAGAATTTTGGAAAAGGGATTATGGATTTCTGTTAAGAATTGATACTGAATCTTATCAGGTACCCTATTTAGTGTCTTTTAATATGATCGTTTTCTTTAATTTGTTGATGTAATAAATTATGTTGATAAATTTTCTGCTACTGAAATCCTTGTGTTCTGAAATAAAAGCTATTTGTTTACAGTTCATTAGTCTTTTAGATATGTGGATAGATCCTATTTGCTAATGTTTTATTTCAAATGAAAATCAATTATTCCCAAGTGGGGTCTGTCTATGAGGAGTTAACATTAAGATGATGCTGACTTTGTAATATTAGGGGGTTCTCCATCTTTCTTCCTATGGCTTTGAATCATTGAATAACACTGAGACTCTCTGTTCTTTAAAGGCTGGATAGAACTCAGCCAGTAAGTCATCTGTTCTGGGGTCCTTTTTTTTTTTTTTTTTTTTTAATGTTTATTCAGTTTTGAGACAGAGAGAAACAGAGAATGAGCAGGGGAGGGACAGAGAGAGAGGGAGATACAGAATCCAAAGCAGGCTCCATGCTCTGAGCCATCAGCACAGAGCCCAACGTGGGGTTCAAACTCACGAGCTGTGAGATCACGACATGAAGTCAGATGCTTAACCAACTGAACCACCCAGGTACCCTGCTCTGAAGTCCTTTTAAAAAGTAGATCTTTAATTTAAGAAACAAAACAGATGAACATAGGGAAAGGGCAGGAAAAATAAAGATAAAAACCTAAAGAGAGGCAAACCATAAAAGACTCTTAAATATAGAAGACAAACTGAGGGTTGATGGAGGCAGGGTGATGGGCATTGAGGAGGGCACTTGTTGGGATGACCACTGGGTGTTGCATGAAAGAGATGAATGACTCAGTTCTCCTGAAACCAATACTACACGGTATGTTAACTAACTTGAATTTAAATTAAAAAATAGGGGCGCCTGGGTGGCGCAGTCGGTTAAGCGTCCGACTTCAGCCAGGTCACGATCTCGCGGTCTGTGAGTTCGAGCCCCACGTCAGGCTCTGGGCTGATGGCTCAGAGCCTGGAGCCTGTTTCCGATTCTGTGTCTCCCTCTCTCTCTGCCCCTCCCCCGTTCATGCTCTGTCTCTCTCTGTCCCAAAAATAAATAAACGTTGAAAAAAAAATTAAAAAAAAAATTAAAAAATAAATAAGTAAAATCTTCAAAAAGAAAAAAATGTAAAATAAATTTAAAAAGTTAAAGAAAACCAAAAAGTAGATCTTCTAGTGCATTTCCAATTCTTCTACAGGAATTTGTTGGTTCCCATTTTTCCTCCTCTTTGCACCATTTTGATGATTATATGATTTATTAGGAGACCTTTGATTTCCTCTACATTTTCTAATTTGTTGCCATAAAGTTTTAGGTAGTATTGTCTTGTAATTATTTTAATCTCTTCTCTTTCTTGATTATGTCCTCTTCCTCATTCCTAAGATAAATTAAATGTACTTTCAATAATAATTACAATTTTTAATTGGATAAAATCATCTGAAGTTTTCTATGGCCAAATACAATTTTAATCTAGCTTTAAAACTATGAAAAAGAACACTGTAATCAAAATAGCATACAGTTGGAATAAGAATAGAGATATAATCAGTGGAGCAGAATAATAAGTATGTAAACAGATTCTAGTACATTTGGAACTGCATATATGAAAAAGGTAGCATTTTACTTCAATGGAGAACTGATAGTTTATTTTTAATAAATGGTATTAGGAAAATGGTTGTCTACCTAGAAGAAAATATAATCAGACCCCTACCTCACACCATATTAAAAAATAAACTCCATGTGTTCTAAAAAAAATATTATTTTTTTTTAAATTTAATTGAAAGAAAATTTAGGAGACTATACATATGATCCAGAGTTCAGAGATAGCAATTAACAAAGACAGAATAGCCAGAAGCTAAGAGAGGACAAAAAGACATGTTGATAACATAAAGACAAATTTACAAACACAAAAGGTATTTTATGGTAAAAAAACAAAAAACAACAACGTTATGAAATCAGTGCATAAGCAACAGATTGGGGAAAAGATTTGCAAACCATACCACAGTAAACGTCTATTTATAATATACACAGAGCTCATGAAAATTAACAAGAAGTATGGGTCTAGCATACAATCTACTCGATAGAAAAATGAGTAAAGTTTATATAAATAGGCAGTTTATCCAACTCAAATCCATATAGCTAAATAAACATGTGAGAATGTTAAAATTACTTACCAGTTGGAAAATGCAAATTAAGATGATAAAATATCACATTCTATCAATAAGTTTGGGGAAAAAAAGAAATGGAGTGATAATATCAGTTGTTGATGATAAATCAAAGGAGAATTGTGTTTTCATACATTTCTGTAATTAAAGTATTTATTATAGTTATGGTTATTTCATTTCTTCTTCTCCACTGTATTTCTCGGATGAGCCTTCCATGAGGGCTGGGATCTTTGTCTTACTCATTGTTGAATCCAAATTGTTAAAACAGTGCCAGTCAAGGGGTAAGGGTATAATAAATAGTTATTAGAAAAATAAAATATGAAATGTCATCAACCGTGTAGAAATTTTAAAAATTCTATTAAAACTTAAAAATACAGGAGCGCCTGGGTGGCTCAGTCGGTTGAGCATCTGACTCTTGATTTTGGCTCAGGTCATGGTCTCATGATTTGTGGGATCAAGCCCCGAGTTGGGCTCTGTGCTGTCAGCGCGGAGTCTGCTTAGGATTCTCTCTCCCCCTCTCTCTCTGTCCCTCCCCCACTTGTGCTTGCTCTCTCACTCTCTCAGTCTCTCTCAAAATAAATAAACTTAAAAAACTTAAAAAATGCATATACCTTTCAGTTTACAATCCCACTTCCGGGATTCTCACAGAGTATCAAAACATCATTATATACGAATGTATGAGATATAAAAATGCTTATTGCAGCAATATTTATAGCTGCAAAAAACAAAACAAAACAAAATTTTGTAACTGCTCACCATTTGAATAAATCTGCATTCTCAAAGTGACTAAATATTATGCAATTCTTAAAAAGAATATGCTAGATCTTTACAGGTAAAGCTAAAAGGAATTTCTGGGGCGCCTGGGTGACTCAGTTGGTTAACCGTCAGACTTCAGTTTAGGTCATGATCTCGTGGTTCGTGATTTGAGCCTCGTGTTGGGCTCTGTGCTGACAGCTCAGAGCCTGGAGCTTGCTTCGGATTCTGTGTATTTCTCTCTCTCTCTGCCCCTCCCCTGCTTATACTCTCTCTCTCTCTCTCAAAAGTAAATAAACATTAAAAAAATTTTTAAGAGGAATTTCTACAACATGCTGTTACATGACAAAAGCAAGGTTCAAAAAAGTGCATGAAGTTATCCCATATTTGGAAATACCAAAAATGAGAAAAGAAACCTCTATAGGTAGGCATATGCATATGTTTTTATGTTATGTAGAGAAACATTTGGGGGATAAACACAAATTTGTTTACTTTCGTTATTGATGGGGGAGGTAGAAACAGAAAAGGGAGGTGGAAAGGTAAAAAAACAAAAAACAAAAAACAAAAGTGAATTACAAAAACCGTGTGTGCCTGTGTGTGTGTGTGTGTGTGTGTGCATGCGTATTGTAGGTGTCGATGCAAAGCAGTGCCCCCAAAAGATCTTTCCAAAAATATTAATGTTGTTTATCAGGTGACAGGACTTCATGCAACTTTTACCTTCTTTCTTATAATTTCATATGTTCCATGAATTTTTTAATAGTAAGCATATATTGTCGTTACAAGCAGAAAAATCAAGAGAATGTAGACGACTTGCCCAGCCACAGAGAGTCATGAGGCCTGGAGGCAGGGCCAGCACCTGTTCTCAAGAACGGCCACTGAGCAGCCCCCAGGGCTGCCTGAGACTCACGCCTTTTCCGACCTGTCCCAGCCTCCTGGCCTAATGAAGTGTCAGCAGGCAACAGCTTCTAGAATTTTCCCAGCTTGGACTCCATATTGCCACCAATTTTAAACTTCCTGAGCAAACATTAATGTCCATTTAGGGGCGCCTGGGTGGCGCAGTCGGTTAAGCGTCCGACTTCAGCCAGGTCACGATCTCGCGGTCTGTGAGTTCGAGCCCCGCGTCAGGCTCTGGGCTGATGGCTCAGAGCCTGGAGCCTGTTTCTGATTCTGTGTCTCCCTCTCTCTCTGCCCCTCCCCCGTTCATGCTCTGTCTCTCTCTGTCCCAAAAATAAATAAACGTTGAAAAAAAAAATAAACAACACAACTGATCATCTAAATAACTTGACACGCAGTAAAATTCCTAAAATGAAATCACCCACTACTCACACTTCTTTGTCCTTTGACTCCTTAGCAGTATATATACGGATGCTTTTCCATGGTTTTTATAAATACATAGGTTCGCTATGGGTCCCTCCACCCCAGTGGTTCTGACTGGAGATTAGAGTTACTCAGAAGGCCATTTGATCACCAGAGCCGCGTCTGGGTGCTGGGCTGCCGCCCTGCTGTGATATTTTAGCAGTTTCAGGCTGGGTGGAGCCAGCAAATGCAGAAGTCCTTGCAAAACTGAAGTGTGACATGTGCAGGTCCTCAGTGGTTCCAGATGGCTTTGCTGCACTGAGAAGGCACTGGTCTCCTTTCCAGTGGTGAAGGACAGATGAGAGAAGGGTGTGAGTTCGTGTGTGTGTGTGTGTGTGTGTGTGAGAGAGAGAGAGAGAGAGAGAGGGAGAAAGAGAAAGAGAGAGGGAAGGGGGAGAAGGAGGGAAAAGGAGAGGGGTGGGGGGAAGAGCGCGCACTTGTGCACCTGTGTGTGTGCATGACAGAGCAAGCATGTGCACGTACCCATGTGTGTGTGCTTGTGGGTGTGTGTGTAGTGGGGTGGGGGGTGGCAAGAGAAGAGGAAGATGAGGGAAGGGGGCTTCTATTTGTTTATTTGGAGTGGATTCATCCCCGCTGTGCAGACTTTGA